TTGTGCCCTTGTGCCCTTGTGCCCTTGCGCCCTTGCGCCCTTGCGCCCTTGTGCCCTTGTGCCCTTGTGCCCTTGTGCCCTTGTGCCCTTGCCGTGCCCTTGCTGTGCCCTTGCCGTGCCCTTGCCGTGCCCTTGTGCCCTTGTGCCCTTGCGCCCTTGTGCCCGGGATCACTGGTGGACCTCTCTCCCCTTTCGAACTTTCAACAAGAAGACGGGACTTTTGTGACCCATGTCCGCAAGTACCACACCGACATCAACCAATATGTTTGCTCTGGCACCAAGCAGATCAAGGTGATCCTCGCTTTGCACGATCATGCCGCAGGACTCCAGCTGCCAGTCTGTCAATACCTTCAAGAGAGTGCACGGCTCATGGCAGCCACTGTTGTCCCGCCTCCTTGTACCTTTCGCAACTATGAAGAAAAGACGATCAGGTTACTTTTCAAGTCCAGTGGTCCATAGTATATCCACGTCTCCGAGCTCGGCAAAACAGTTGTTGCTCGCCGAGTTCGGAACATCTACTATGACAAGTCTTTTGCAGAGATGCTCTTCCAGGAGGTACTGGTGCTTCATGTTCAGGTGGGGTGTCTTGCTGACTCCTAATGCTGCTTCTAGACTTGAACAGAAACAACAGACAACATAAAACGTGCTTAGTCACCCCGACATCTCGCGCAGGTTCGAGCTGGCCCAGATTGCATCTTCGAGCCCACGAAGCTGGAAATCAGCTCTCCTCGCTGTGTCCCACTCACACTCGGCATTGGTGGCCACTTCTTGAGGATGTCGTATACTCAGCTGCAGTTCAAGCGAAGATGAACGAAATGCTGGATGTTCTTCTCGACAACAAGGAGCGGTTGTACGTGCGCCTGCCGCAGAACGTTCTGCTTGGCCGCCAAAGGCTTTCCTCCCGGAGCTCGCTCGTGTTCGTGCTGGGTAACCCAAGCGACCCTACCGAGTCGAAACTTTCATTCGGTCTGGGACTTGCTGATTCTGACGATTCTGGGCTGGTATCCGCTGACGCGGCTTGCCTTCGTCGTTTGTTCGACCCTTGAATATGCGTCTGCTTCCCCCGCACGTCCCACTGCAGCTCCGGCCTCTGCATCGGCGCCGGCGTTGCCGGGTGCCTCGACCTCGTCCAGCAAGCTCCAGCTCTCAGATTTCGCCCGTCTGAAGAAGGAGTTCTTGGCGAAATGCCCCGGTGAACTGCTGACTCCGCACTCCACGCCGTCCCTGGAAGTCCTATCTCTGTTGAGACAACACAGTGACTCTTCCGCCTCCTGTGGACTCCTTGGCGGCTGCGCAGTTCGCTGACGCCGCTAAATGGGAGGAAACCAGGAAGCCTCGGAATGACCTACGTTTATCCGCCAGCTTCTTGACTCCGAATCCGAGCTGCCGACTCCGTCAGTCAGTGTTAACATGCAGGACCCCGCACAGCTGGTACAACGACGAGCCCTGAATCTGTTCGCCTATGCTCTTTCTTTCCTCGACTTAGTGCATCTTGCCACTAGAGAGAAGTTTAATGAGAGGGTTTTGGACCTCGCTCTGACCCCGCCTCTGATCAGAATCTGCGCCCGCTGTCTCTGCAAGAAATTCTTCAAGCTGACCACGCGGTTTGGGCGTCGATTTTCGAATTGACACGGTGACCACAGCTGGTCCTTCTCTGACGTGATGAAACCTCTTTCTGAGGGACCGCCTCGCACTCCTCCGCCTCCGTCATGTTAATCCAGAGGTGGCAAGGGAGGCGGTCGTACGGTTGCGCGTGCAGCAGGACGAGTCCGTGGCCGCCGATTCTGCGCCCTCCAAAGCCGCTGCCAAAACCAAGACAGCTGCTGGCAAGGCCAAGGCAGCCCCAATCCGCCCCCGGAAGGATGAGACGCCTCGTGGTGCAAAGTTATCGGGGACAAGGAAGAAGCCTGCATGCATTTCGCCATTGGCAAAAGCACCAAGACAGATTCCGGTTTCGGTAGTGTCTTCTGCACCGGACCCTCTTGAGAAAATCCAGAGGCTCCTCCGTCACTCAATCTTCCGAGTCGTTTCCCGCTTTGCCTTCGGTCTCATTGTCGCCCTGCCGTCTTTTTCTGAACTTTATTTCCGGTTCCTCCTTCCCTGTTCTCTCAGCTGTGAGAGGCTTGGGCAAAGGATGTTTTGAACCCGTAACAAAGAGTCTGCGGCGGTTGGCGCGGCGGGTGCCGCCCCGCCCTGCGCCGCATTCTCTTGCGGGGATTCCGCATGCATCTGCATGCCAGGCAGAAGAGCTTCGGGTCTCTTCTACCCTGCACGAGGCACGAACGAGCCAGCGAGCCAGACACTTGCTCTGTCTCGTTGCTTGGTGGGGAGGCTTAATTTGGCTAGCAAGCCCTTCCTCCTCGCTGCTCGACTCAGCGGTTATTTCCTGGGTACGCCTCCACTGCCGACTGTGGCTGGTTGCGCCGGTTGCGCCCATGGTTTAAACCAACACAAAGCTTGGAATTTTTGCTGCAGTGACACATCTGTCAAGTCGTTGGCTGCTGTGTGCTCACACCCTTGTGGGGTTCACACGGCCGGGTCTCTGGCAAAAGGCTCCAGACGGCACTTTTGCCTCTCGGCTTTCGGCATGCTACCCCGAGTCTCTGGCACCTTTCCTTACTGCTGCTTCTTTCGAGGAGCCGGTGCGCCTGGTGGGTTGGTCCCGACTCCTTCCGGACCGCTTGCCATGGCCGGTGCACAATCGTTGGGTTGAGGACTGTATGGGTACATGCAGCACTTCCCGCCCTCTTCCCGTCTCTCCGGATCCGCTTGCTTCTCTTCGGTCCGCTTGGTCCAGGAGGCTGTTGAATACCAGCTAAATGTCGCGGATTGCGACTCAACTCAACTCCGGTGAGAAGGGCTCTCTGCTGACACAGGAAGAGCTCTCACCCTTCCTCACGGACCTTGTCAGTTTCTTCATGTGTCTGACGGTGCTACGTGGGACAGTCTCCTTTTTCGCTTCAGTTTATGGCATTGCCTGTCGATGGTGTGCTCCGGCCCGGACTCTGATTATTTTCAGCTTCTCCGTGAAAGGGTGCCGCTGGGGATATCCTCAGTGATTCCGGCCTGCCCTGTCATGCACCCGCCGTCTGCACCTGACTCCACTTGATTCCGCTCCAACACTGTGAATCAGCCTGGAAATCCGCAATGGATCATTCGCAAGTGGTTGATGATTTGTTGGCGGCTGAAGTGCAGGAGCGTTGGGTTAAGCCGGGCGCCCTGCTCCGTCAGGCGTTGGCTTCGAAACGGTGCTCAACGCACCTTCTGGAACGTATTACGGGCAAGTTGCTCTGGCTCTCTCCCTGTTCTGCATGTTTCGCCCATCCTTGGCTCCGCTTTGTTCGGACCGGCACTCTTTCTTTCCGTCCATGACGGCCCTGCAGCCCGAGCTGTGGAATACGTTCTGTGAAGCCTTGTCACCCGACCTGGTGGTCAACGATCCATTGGAGTTGCCGCCCTGCCTCCTGGTTCTCGACTTCTGCGTGTCGGCCAAAACGGCGGTTGCGACCAAAGCCGATCTACCTGATTCTGCTCCGGATTCCCGTTGCATTTGGTTGCAATCGGCAGTTGTTCTTTCGCCGCTTCGTCGCTCGCGTAGAGCTGCATGCTTTATTTGCGTGGTTTGACGTTTCCGCATCCGCGCAATCGTTTCTTGCCACTTGAAAATTGCTTGTGCAATGTGCATTGGTCGTCCTTTGGAGTCTCTGCTCGGCATCGGCCATTTACCCGTGCACTGTATTTTTCAAGCGTGACAACTCCGCTGCCGACGCGGCGAGTTGGAAGGGCTTCTCTATGGCCCGAGGTCTGTGCCACGTTCTTCGTTCCTTTCTAATCTGTCAACAGGCGCGCCGCATCTCCGTCTACATTGATCATGTTCCTGGTCTGACCAGCGATGTGGCCGACGCTCTTAGCCGCGGCTCTGACCCTCCTGTCCCGGGTTTTCGAGCCCTCGGAGGAATTTCAGGTCTAATGAGTCTAATTATTAGGAAAACTTCCCGGCCTCCCCATGAACTTTCTTTTTTCCCATCCGCGGCCGATTTTTTTGTTTTTTTTTTGTCCGGTTGGCCCACGGCTGTGGTCAAGCGTTCTGCTCGATGTGAGTTTGGTTTTACAGCCGGGTGGATCGAACAGAGGAGCTCTCCGCATCCAGTTCTGCTGGTCTGCGTCCGTTCCGCACATGGACCGACCAGGGTTAACAGAACCCGGAATGCTTCTCTGCCAGCGGACAAAAAGGAGTTTGTCGGGGCTGGGCTGTACTGTACCGCTTCCGTACACTAGCCTTTTTGGAATAAGGAAACGGACTGTACTCTGCGAACTTGTGGAGGCGCGCCCAAGCATGTATGCATACATATATATTAATATTCATAACATTTGTATTAATGTTCATATTCATATGTACAGTTACAGTTATATTTGTTCTTATATTTATATTAGTATTTATACTTATATTTGTATTAAGATTTATACTTATATCTGTATTTGTTTTTATAGTTATCATTTATACTCATATCTGTATTTGTGTGTCTTTATTTATACCTATATATATATATATATATATATATCTATATCTATATCTATATCTATATACGGCCACACACCCCTGATGTACCTACCTGTTTTGTGTCTTTATGGCAAAGGCAGGAAATGAAGGCAAAGCAAGGGGGAGGACCATAGATATACATACGCATGGTCTAAATGAAAACATGTACACAGATGTATCATTGTACACGCGTATCTATTCAGATTTATTTGTCTCTTTTTCCAGGTCGTTGACGAGAACATGACCACATGGCTTTTCATGTCGACATTGAAATACAATGCAGAACGAGGCAGCACGTGTCGCAGGTCCCCGCCGGCCGTGTTGCTTTGCACTTTCATCACCTCGTGTCACCTTCCCGGCATTACCGCATTGTCCGCGACGGATGTGCTTGCTACATGCGGCTGCTGTGCATTTCGGTTTCATCCCGGCAGCCATGTTTGGGCGATGATGCTTTTCCCAGGTGGGCGAACTTTAGCGCGAATTGTTCGTCACAAGGCATGATGCACGTTCTGTTTTAGCTTATTTGCGGTTAGTGGCCGTTGTGTTTGTAGTTTATCGAGCTTGAATCAGTTGTGACTCCAAAACATCCCACGATTCAGAAGCAGGCGGGTGTGCGGTCTGGGCGGAGTCGTGACAGCTCCCGAGATGGCAAGGCAGGGCCGGTGATTCCGCTGCATTCTGCTCTTTTTTTATGAGGCTTCAAGGTCCGGGTGATGTGTTGCTGTTACCATTTTTTTTGCCAGGGTTTGCTCTCAGAACTGATGCCGTGCTCATGAATTTAGTGGTTCTTTCGAATGCAGCTTTCGCCCGTTTGTGATTGACTGGGCGGTCCATTGCCTGTTCACATGGAGTCGTGTTCTGCTTGGGTTGAACTCTTTAGCGAAAAAGCGCAGGATCCTGCTGGAAAGTTGAGGGTGTTCAGTGTTGGCGAAGAACTCAGGTGCGTGGTTGCAGCCCAACTGATCCTCGCCGAGGTTCGCCGCCTCACAAGATGGCAACACTTGGAGAGCTTTGGGAAGGAAGCCGCGGGATCAGCCATGCGAGGCGCTATGGACCCGCCCCGAGTCGAGTCGGCTTGGCCAAGCCCTGCGCTTGGTGCAATCTACATGCATCCATGTATACAGAGCGGATCGATCGAACTGAGAGAATCCGGCCCGAGGCATGGGGATTGCACATCTGAGCGCCTGGGCGGAGAAGGGCGGCGGGCTCAACCGGAAAGCCCAGCATCACAAGTCCTCCGATGCATTGCTCTTGCATGTGCTGGGGGCTTGCGAGTCTTTCAAGAAGTTTTCACCCGCCGGTCTTGCCTTCAACAACACACCCATCGCATGTTGCAGGTGTAGTTTCCTCGCAGCATGCTCCTCGAGACCCTGGCCCACCTCAAAGCAAGATGTCTGGACCCAAGAGGCTCTACCGTCGCAAGCTGCACGAGTAGACGGATCGAGCACAAAGTGCGGGTACAACTCTGTGCAAGGCAGCCCCGACACAACTTCCCTCGGGCACGAACCAGATCTTCCCAAGGGTGCCGGCGTGTCTTCTCAAGTTGTGATACAGTTTGTGTAGTTTGTGGTGCGAGGAGTGTTTTTTCGCAAGAGGTTGCTTGGATCAGCTCAGACGCAGGTATCGAAACTGCGCCTGGACGCCCGGGAACAGACCCGGGAAGGAATCCGTGCAGAGTGCGCAGACTTCACTCAGACCGTGGGAGGTTGAGGGCACCATTACCATGCTTCTGCCATTTCATTTGGGGTTGCCGACAGCATGGCATGCGAATCTTCGCGGCGCTTGCTGTAGAACAGACTGGAGCAGGCATCCACCCCGGCCACTGAAGCACCATCGGTTGAATCTGGTCATGCTGGCATGCCTTGTGCAAGTCCACGGGTATTGGCTTAAGTCCATGCATCTGATTCTTCAAACTTGTTAGGAGCTGGGCCAGGGTCACTTGGAATTTCAGTGACTTCTCGTGCAGTAGAACCGCATGTCATGGCCAGGCGGCTACCCCGGCAGTGGAGGGGTCAGTCCGGAGGACGTGCTTGCAATTTGCTGGCAGCTCGTTGGACCGGAGCCGTATGATCGAAGTCGCCATGACGCTCTTCAGCAGACCGCCAGCAGAGTGCCAGTGGCGGACAAGATTTGCCAGGAGCCTTGGGTCAGAACAGCCACACCGCTGCTGCCGAATTTGCCTGCCATGGCCTAAGGCGGTCGTGCGCGGCTTGCAGGGCCAATGCACCACTAATCCACGTAAGGGTAACCGGCCATCGGAACATGTTGGAACAAGCTCAAAAATTAAGCGAAGCCGGGCGGTGCACCAAGAAGGCAGGGTTTGGCCCTCATGAAATTACATGCAACAAATGTTCGTTCTATCCGGATTCTGCGTTCGACAACTCCGAGGATGGTTCTCGACCGCGAGGCCTGTCACAGGCTGGAAGCCGACTGACTTTGGACATCGAGGGATGCTGTCTTTATGAACTGCAGACTGCCGCAGCAAGCGTGCTCAAAGTTGGCGAGATAGTTGCGTCTCGAAGGGGACCATGGAGGGCCAGGATGACCAGAATCAGGACTTGACTCTCTTCGTCCAGAACCTTCTGAAGGAAATGCAGGGGCGCTTTCAGACAATGTCCGACTCCATCATCAACCGCATTGATGACATGGGCGCCCGCATCGATGACTTAGAGAAGTCCATCTCTGAGCTGATCCAGGAAGCAGGCGTGGAGGGCGACGCGGCAGGCTCTACCCAGGCGGCACCTGCTGTCCGCCCTTCCTGAGCAGCGAGGAGTCAGCGAGTCTCCAGTCTGATGGCTGCGCCAGCTGTGCCTTTGAATTCGTTCCAAGACGCCTTGCCCTGACAGGAAGCCTCAGGCAGCGGGCCATTTCAGAGTCAACTAAGTTCGGCGCCTGCAGATGCCACCATTCTGGTGTTGCCGCGGCTTGCCCAGCAGTCTGAATGTTCCGTGCCGTGATGCAGTTGCGCACTGTGCAAACGTGAGACCAAAAATGAGCTCTTACAAGCTTCCAGATCTTGCATGCTAGTGTGGCCCAGCCACAGACTTCATGTGTACGACATGTTGCCGAGAAGGGTAACGAGCTTGACACCAATCAATGTGCAGGGCTGGAAGAGTCGTCATCTCGACATTTCTTCGCGTGAAGCCCAGCCAAGAGACTGCTTTTGGCCATTGTTTGATGTGCGCTGCACACGCTGCGCATTGGTCGATGGCTGGCTAGTGTGTCGTCATGTGTCGTGAGACATGGAGGCCGGAAGGCCAGCGAATGGAACAGCAGAGGCAGGGTGGGGCTTGAATCAAGATTGCACCAAGTCATCCATTGCATTATTCTGGCGTATGCTCGGATATATACGAGATGTGGTTTACTGTTCTGATCAAGAAACCACCACGGCGTCAAGGCAAGAGCTGATCCAGGAGAACATGCGTCAGCCGCAGCCCTGAGTGCATTGCCGATGTGTGGCAACATCCTATAACTCACAGGGCTCACCGAAACCGTGCATTCTTCGTTGACGTCTGGTTTCTTGAAGGTATACAGGCACATACAAGCACCTTGTATTGCATCCACTTTTTCCGTGCCCCAAGGCAAGAGCTGCAGGAGTACCATTACCGCTGCCAGAAGCTAGATGCTCGACCTAGTTATACTTGGATTCCGGGTTGGTCAGACTTCAGGCCGGCTTGTGGACTCCCTGTAAAGTAAAGTCTGATGTCTAAGACGCTGCCTTTCGATTCCCGATCGGCCAAGGAGAGGGAACACGCTGCAACGACAGCAGATGCTTGGACGGTCAAGCTCTCAGTGCTGTTTGCCAATGTGTCACATACTCACGTAACACTGCCATCGTATCTAGGAATCTACATCTTCCATGGCAAGAAAGAGCACAAGAACCCTCACAAGACAACTTAAGAAGACGCCACATCACAACATAAGGCACTGTGGTTCAGATTCCCCAGGTACAGGTGTCATCGCAAGCTCCGCGACAACGGCATCCATCACCGCCATCCGCAGAGGCACTTCCATGACCGCCTCATTTGCAAGCGAGCTGCATTGCTTAGCCAATGCATCGTCAGGTTATCGGGGCCAAGGAAGAGTATTCTCATCGGTCGAGTGTGGACGAGCGCTACGAGCAGCAGTTGCAGCAGGCGGCGATCCGTTTTCAGATTTTCATAAACATCAATCTGAGTGGGAAGCTGGGAGACTTTGTTCAACATCACACATTCACGGAAAACGATGCGAACATACGAAAGATCAGTAAACAGCAGGGGTATGGAGTCAGAGATGGCAAGAGAGTGCACCCGGAAAACACGAGGTGGAAGAATCACAGGGAAGCGACGAAACAACATAAGAGGATGAATTCGTGGGATTGCAAAGGCGCAGAAGGCATCCTAGACAACGGACAAATCTCGCACAGGTGTTCCCGGAGAAGGGAGTCAGACGCGGAAATAACGGGACAGAAACGAAGAAACAAGAGCGAGGGACCAGACGACTGGTGCCTAGGAGCGTTTGGGTGAAAGATGTGGCGCCTTAGGAATGGGGAAGGGAGATTCTCTGGCTCGGGCAGGAAGAAGGGAAGGCACTTCGATACGTGCACGCGACATCTCCGCATCTTCCCTGGGCACACGGCATATCTCACGCTTAGGTGAGCGGGTATACGATATACGAACGTACACGGGAATGCGATGGATGCGTGTCACGAGCGTCCTGCTGTGCAGCGAACGACGCACGTGCTGTCGTCAGGAGCTTGCACGACAACAGCAGCTTGTGGCTTGGCACAAGGGGCAATCGACAAGCTCCGATGTTTGCTTTGCTGCATGAGCCTTCAGTAAATTGCAGTCCTGCGATGTCGGCTGACCGAAACGTGGCTTCATAGTGAATATCCTTGCTTGCATGGCAGGCCCGAAGTATCCTGTCTTCGCGAATCCAAACCATCTATCGGTCGCGGGCAGTGCGTTGACCGCCCAGGAGCTGGAACTTCGGGGCGATTCCGCAGCCTCCATTTCTTGGCTCCTCGACCATCACTACTTCTTGATGGCTCAGCCTTGCCGCAAAAGTGTTAGAAGAGCTTTTTTCTCATGCCGTATGCGTGGGAAGCTACTTTCCAGATTTCGGCAGGCGTGGTAATGCACGAGCACGCGTGTGGAAGACGGTCGTTACGATAGGCAGCACTGCCGAGCCCAGGCTGAACCAGCAGAAGACTCAGAGGCTCCAAGAGGAGGACAGGAAACATGCTGCGTCCCAGTTCCGGGCAGATGAAGTGATGGCGCTCGCAGCTCCACAGGAGCATCTTCGGCAGCAACACCGAGATCAGGCAGGGATGTCGCAAGCCCAATGTTGAGCTTGTGAGAATTGCGCCCTCACATCAGAATTGCTGGACGGACTGGGAAGACTGGGGAGTTCCCAATGATATCACATGGTATCATCTAAGTTTCAACTCTGGCTCAGCTTGGCCATCTTACTGGTACGCTATCAGGACCGTGATGGCCTGTTCGGGGTGTGACAGGTACGTTCCCAGCAGGAGCAGGCAGAGCTCGCTCTGCAGCGGAGGTGGGGTGCAATGGAGTGAGGGCTCACAAAGACCTGGGAAATATTCCAACACGCTGCAGGGGAATGGATGTGGCAGTGATTCTAGCCGCGGACTCCCTGTCTCCCCCTCTCGAATCATTTCCCGTTGGCACATGTGCACCCCATGCATCCAAAGCGGAGTGTATCTGCATGTTTTCAAGGTTTCAACAGCCCGGCAAACTAACGTTCCAACATCTGCCCGGCATGGTTTGTTTGCCGAGGCAGCAGGATGCAGAGGCCTTGCGTGCCTCGGATCGAATTATAAGTGGCGCCAGTCATCACAAAATTCAAAGGTGGACAGGACCTAATGCACCAAGAGGTCGGAGCGTTCTCCAGTTGCAGCCACTTGACATAATAATAATGCATTAGGGCATCAGGACCGTCTTAGCAGAACAGTGAGAGACATGCCAGCAAGCATGTGTACTTCAACCAGCCTCAAGCCGCGCACAACAAGCAAGTTTGTTAGTCAGTAAGCATGTGTTGTCGATTGTGCAGATCAAAGCAGTTTTTGGTCAAGGTCAGCGGCAGCGATTTAGCCAGGAGGCAACACGTTGCAGCTGATTTTCGATCCATTTCGATCCCTTAGCACCGCAGAAACTCCAGCACCATGCCGACAGGTCCTCCGGCAACAGCAAAGAGAACGACCTATCATGCCCCCTTGCTCAGCGTGCGTTACAGTGAACAGAGGGTTGCAAGTGCAGTTAGCGTGCCGTTTGTCTTTCCTGGCATCTTTCTGGCCACGTGTTGAGAGTTTCGTCGATTAGTGAACTGACCGCGTGGCTTCGTTTTGCTGTGACTATTTTGAGGCAAGACGTATCTCCTGCGCTGCCCTGGCCTCGATGTTGACAGAGTGTGTTTATCGAGGTCAGTTGAGCACCGCCGCAAGCTGACAGGATCTCGTGCACACACGCACACACACTTGTGCAATTCTCCCTCTGGCTTGTCTTTGTTGAAACGTAAATCTAATCTAAAAAAAGAGATGAAGATCTGAAGCCACACAGGCAGTTAAAAAGGTTTTCATCGACATTTCAGGTTTATGGCTTTGCCTGGTTGCCATGCAGAATCAAAGGACTCTGTGGGGTTCTTGGCTTAGCCCCATACCACTCCAGAAAAATTGCAGGTACGTTTACACGAGAAGACGGTAGATGGGCGCGCAGGCAGACGGAAAGCTCAATCGGTATTCCCGTCATATAGACGGATAAGTCAGTTGAGAATCAATCTACAGGCTCGGAAATAAGTCAGGAGAAGTCATCGCAGCTTGACAAGTCAATCGGTTAAGTAAGCACCAGAGCAACCTCTGGGAGACACGGCGCCCATGGGGAAAGCCGTTGTGAATCACACTTGACACAATGTGTCACAGGTTTCAAGTCAGTGCAGACAGTCAGCAGGAAGTCAGGAGCCCAAGATCTCATGCAAATCACTGTAGGGTTACGGATCTCAAGGCTCATTACCATACTCAGCAAACAATACATTGACTTGCCCATTTCACGCTAGAAGAATTACTGCAAGGCTCCCAAGACATGCAACTGCACATGCAGGTACAGGGTACTGGCCAAGGCCCCTTTTCCATTCACAACCGTAGCTTCGTTGCACACGGTACTGTAAGTTGTGAATGCCGTGTGCCCCTGCATAACTCTTCATGACAGCAAATTCTGTTTGGTACAAAGTTGAACACACACACACACACACACCCCCCCACACACACACACACACACACACACACACACACCCACCCACACCCACACCCACACCCACACCCACACCCACACCCACACCCACACCCACACCCACACCCACACCCACACCCACACCCACACCCACACCCACACCCACACCCACACCCACACCCACACCCACACCCACACCCCACCCACACCCACACCCACACCCACACCCACACCCACACCCACACCCACACCCACACCCACACCCACACCCACACCCACACCCACACCCACACCCACACCCACACCCACACCCACACCCACACCCACACCCCACACACCCACACCCCACACCCACACCCACACCCACCCACACCACACCCACACCCACACCACACCCACACCCACACCCACACACCCACCACACACCACACCCACACCCACACCCCACACCCACACCACACACACCCACACCCACCCACCCACACCCACCACACCACCCACACCCACCCACACCCACCCACACCCACACCCACCCACACCCACCCACACCCACCCACACCCACCCACACCCACCCACACCCACCCACACCCACCCACACCCACCCACACCCACCCACACACACACACACACACTGATGGATTCGGCCAAGAGTACGAGTGCAAGAGGAAAAAGAGAGGCATGTTGTTCTTGCTTGTTGTCGCATCAAACTTCAATTGTGGCAATTGAAAATCTAATCTTGGCACAGGGGCCTTCTAATCTGGCTGGCACAGGGGCCCCAGCTCAATTTTATGCAGGTACGCCAGACTGATCAGGTCTGGTATCCACCATTACGCATAGCTTCGTTGGCATGCGTTTGCGTAATGGCCGCATGCCCCCTGCAACAGTTGATTTGGTAAATGTCCAATGCCGGATTATGTTGAAAAGCGAAATTGCAAACAGTGTAGGAGTGACCCTCTGCTCCCATGTGCTAGGGAGGTTCACACACACACAGCCCCAATGGGGCGTACATGCTTCAAGTAGAGTGAAAGGTCTGATGCGCGGCAATAGGAGTGAATGGCGCACTTTTCTCGCTGTCAATAGCGATCGGGTGATTGTCGTATTTCCTGATCCGAACAGGTTCTAACAAAAAGCACCGGCATCAACGTGGCTAATGTGGTGACTGAATCCCAATCATGTAGTCGTCGACGGTTTTGTTCGAAGAAGAAAGCTGGGATTTTAGGAGTTCTGCCGGTGATCTCCTTGATGCGGTAGGAGAAGATCTTGCGAGCTTGGAGAACGTTGTCACCCAGACAAAGCACCACGTGTAAGAACATGTGCTTGTCTCTGGTGATGCGGTCGGGTGGAATTTCAACAGTCATCCGAAAACATTGTCCTGCCATGGAGTACCATGGAAGGCCGGCCTCGGCAGCCTTTCGCTTTGTCATATTTTTGCTGCTACCAACCGACAAAAGCTTGAACAAGGAATGCAAATCAACATGGACATGATGTGTGCTCTGGCAAAACAACAAAGTGGTGTCGTCCTGACACTCGCATGCGCAGGCTTTTTTGTCACGCTTAGCGGATCTTGCAGCCCTAATCCGTCCTGAGAATTAGGGTCCAACAGCGAGTTTGTTGGGACAGTCACTCATGATCTTGAAATGGCATCGACACCTAAAACCTGCACGTACCAGCATTTTTGCACAAGCGGTTTTGGACCGCTTGTGCTGAATAGTAGGATGCACAATATCGTAAGGTGCAATCGAGTCAGAAGACCAAGGATCTCGAGATGGAGACCGGTGTGCGTCCTCAGCCATGTGTGACGTTGCCGTAGGTGACGCTGATGATGTTGAATGCGAAGAGCGTGTCCTCTTTCGTCTTGTAGTATGTGGATGTTGGCGTCGTTGCTGTGTTGTGGATTGGGATGGTGGTGAGATGTTGCGTGTTTTCTTTGTTTTCATGACTGTTTTGTCCTTTTGTCTTTGTTGTCTTTCTTCTTTTTTGTCCTCGTTGTGTGCTTTGTTTTTTGCTTGTGTGTGTGACTGACTGCATGGGAGGATGTGGTGGTGTCATCCTTCCTCAGGAAGGCATCAATCTCTTCGGATCCCCATAGGCTGCTGTCGTCGTCCTCGTCCATCTGTGTGCGATCCTAAATATGTTTTAGCAACTGTAGTTCTGAGAAATGGCTGCGGAGTCACAACTGCATTGAGGCATGTGCATACGCTGATCTTCAGAAGAGAGAGAGAGAGAGGTATACAGAGACATCAATTGAGCAACCTCGCCGACCGGCATGAACTTTCAACATGATGCTCTTAATGTTGAACCTCATCAGGAATGATGGAGTTCGCAGCACAGCTTTGCTGTGTGGTTGTTGACTGCCGGGGGCAGCAAATGTGCATCTAATTGTCAACTCAGCAATGTTGCTCACGGAGTTCTTGACCGCTTTCTCTTGTTGGATGTAGGAGTTGATGTAGTAGATACTGTCTCCTTTTGGGTAGGAGTCGTTGATGTCGGACGCTGATCAGGTTGCTCCGAATGCTTTCGTATCCACTCTTGAGATGCGATAAAGTACTCACGCCACCATGAAGAGCCGTTAGTGGCCCAATGCCATCTCCATTGTGATGCCGTGGGAGATCGCGATCTGGTGCGTTGTTCCATGGTGCTAACACAACTGGTTGTTTTGCAAAATGCTGCGGGAAAGAGTGCATCAATCGCTGCATACCAAACATATGTGAAGTGAGTGCACTGACTGTCACAATTGGCAACAACGACAATCGTTGTTTTAACCGTCCGCTGCAAAGCACCCAATGGTGGTATGAACATGGTTGATCACCTATTGTTGCGAAGCTTCGAGTCTTTCCACTCGTTGCTTTAGCTCTGTGATCTGCCGGGTTGTTTGCAGAATAAACTCGGCTAATTGGTCGCGTAGAGCCTCGTCACTGAATGTGGAAGGTTCACTTCCAGTTTCGGAATCATAGTCCCGATGCTGTGTCAAAATCTCCATGAGGGCCTCGGAGAGAGCTTCACGTCGTGACTCATCGACGGGTGGCGAATCTGTAGTCACTGTGTTTGTCGGAAGAGATGCTTCGCTCATGGCTCGGTGTCGGGATTCCGATAGGTGTCACTCTGAGGCAAAAACTTCAAAAGGCAAAGTTATGGTGTGTGTCTGAAAGCAACATGTGTTGAAATGCGAGAAGTGTGCACTACCTGGCTCTTTTTATACCAGCGTACCTTAGCAGCATATTCACGACCAATCAGGCGCGTTTTGCCTGATGAGGCTTTCGAGTACGTCGAGCTGCTGTTTGCACGAGGCGAGGATCGCCGTGGTAGCCTCGTGTTGAGTGGTCAACACCGTTGTAGCCTGTTGTATCAGGCGCTCGAGTTTGGCATTCGATTCAAGCAACGAATTGTGAAACTGCGTTATTGCTGCCATAATCTCAGTCGATGAATCCGGATCAGAATGATGCGGAGGTGGAAATGGCGGGGTCGCCGGTGCAGCCACTGCTGCGTCCTGCTGTTCTTCCGGATCTTGGTGTTGCTCTTGGTAATCTTGGAAATCTTCGTCTTCTGCAACACGTAGGAACTGAGAGCGCAAAAGCGCCGGCTGTTGATTGTGGCTGCCAACCGCAGGTTGCTCGTTGCGGCGTCTGCTGTGCTTGGAGATGGATGGCCGAGGACGGCCGCTCAGCGCTTTGTGGCTCGGCTGCAATCTGCCAGTCATGGCACTTTTATACATGATGATGCCTCAGTTAAACCCTGTAAATGGCTGCGGGAAGCACTGTGTTGATACAAGGCGGCTCTCATGTTGCAAAGTTGCATGGCTCTGGACACACGCACGGCAACTTGGCACAGTGTTTTGCTTACAGCTGTTGATCAGTATAGCCGGCAGCGATGTAGAGATCGCGCATGGCTCGAATGGCTGATGTGGCCTCGCTGCATGGTGTTGTCACTCTGCGTACCATGCGTGTGCGGGCCTGAAAACTGCTGCGAAGTGTTGCAACAGAGGTGGCTGACTGTGGGTGTAAAATATCCGCCTTGTGCAAAGTGCATTGATGCGTAAGGCTGCTGTGCTGAGGGTTTATGGCGAAACCCAGGAAAATGTTGGCCGGTTCAGTTTCAAGCTGAACCGGTGGTTTGTAGAAAGATGCGTCAGTAAGCTGTGCAAAAGGAGGCAGTCGGGTCA